GGCGGCCTCTAGTTGTTGCCCTAGTGTCCCTGTGTAGTTCTTGTACAGGTGTCAGGTCTGGGGCAGACATTGATGATCGTGGTACCTTGTGTGTACTTCTTCCAGCATAGAACGCTCTAAGTATCCGTCTACGTGTGTGTGTATGTTTGTGTATCTCTGTATTTACGACACAAGGTAAGAACAATATATGTATATCTCTGTATTTACGACACAAGGTAAGAACACTATATATATCTCTGTATTTACGACACAAGGTAAGAACACTATATATATATCTCTGTATTTACGACACAAGGTAAGAACACTATATATATCTCTGTATTTACGACACAAGGTAAGAACATTATATATATACATTTCCTTGCCCCCGAGCACGGGATCTTAGGCGGAGACTACTGTACTGTATATGACTTTATTGTGTTGCTAGTGCCCTAAAACTCTTACTAAAACTAAACTAACCCGATGAAAAGGCCAGGGCAAGTGCTGATGGATCAACTTGCTGTCTATCAAATCCTGTGCCATGACTTGAAATTGCGAAAGAAAACACGCTTCACTCAAAGACTCAAAAGCTAGGATGACAAACGTCATAATCTCAAATACGTTCCTTATCTTTCCATCTTGAACAACAGTTTGCTTTTTCCTAAATGTTTCTTAGTGTCAGATTAGACAACAGATCGAAAGACTGCTCAGCTGTGTATAGTATGTATCCATACATGTACTGCTGGCAAGAGGCATGTGAAAAATACCTTGACATTCAATATAAATAAAACATGAATATACAACTACAAATGAACTGAACAACGAATGGAGAGTTCAACAATATATCACTTTTATTAGACTCAGCTGCTCCACGCCCCAAACCATTTTCACTGATGACCAACACACCACTTGACACCACGCACGCACACACACACACTACAACTCACAATTTGCTCACTGATATAAAAACTGAGACTGAGATCTGTTACATTGTTAGCAACATGAAAGGTGACAGTGTAGTGTAAGTCGCTTTACAAAACACATTTAGTGCTAGACTAGCTTTTTCCTTACCACAGAAAGAGGAAAAGGAAGTTTCCTCACAGAAAGGTACAGAATTTATTTTTTTTTAACCAGGGGAAATGTTTTGAATCAATAGACAAATACAATTAGGAGTTGATAGTTTCCCATTTGAACGTATACTTTCCAGATTTGTCCCCATAGCAGGATAAAGATGAGTGGCAGCTTCCTAAATTATTCCACTGGTGCCATCTAAAAATATTTTTAAAAAGAAAAAAAGACAGCAATGCTTGAAATTATTTTATTCATCTAATATTTAATTTAATTTTTCTGCTCATGTGTCAGAAACCAGTGACTGGAGCAAGCCACATGCTAAACAGAAGGCTCAACGAGTCAAGGTAAGGAAACATATTTTTTTTTAAAAGGGGCTGAGGTTTTGTGATGAAGACTGCGACTTATTCGTCCCCTCAATCCTTTTTTTTTCTTCTTTCTTCTCCTCTCTCTGAACCAAAAATTACAAATCCAAGCAGCATTTCTAAAAGTCCCATCCTAGCTCCTCCTATCATTCCCTACAAGTGTTAGGCAATTGTAAGAACAATGTTCACAAATTTGCTGTGGGTGGTTTGAAGGGTACTACAGGTAGGTCCTATTTCTTAACTTTCACTCTGTCAGTTTTGCCCGTCTATCTTACAATTTCCCAACACTAATAAAACTAAACGACCATTATTGTGTCCACGTGCTTCTCTTTACTCACACAAACAAACAAAACAAATTTGCACACACTTTACATTTGACCACGGCATCAACATGTTCACAACTCATACTTCTTCCATCACAACTCATACTTCTTCCATCACAACTCATACTTCTTCCATCACAACTCATACTTCTTCCATCACAACTCATACTTCTTCCATCACAAAACACTTACCACAACCACTTTTCACTCTAGACCACACATCTGTAATTATAAAATATACACGACAATACCCATGACATGCAAGATGATACACCTGTTGACTTCCACGTTGAGATATGATGATGTGAACAGTGGCCAAATGCTGCCCGTTGAGAGAGAGATTATCCAGTGGTGGTAGTAGTAGTAGTATAAAACAAAAGTCATTTTGAAGAGCTGCCTGACATGAGAGTGATGAGTGGCTACTTACACAATGTGTACTGATGGGCTCTACAGACTTTATGGGTACAGATGAGGTATACAAACAGAGGCTGTACAGGCCAGTTCTATAGGCATGTGTATAGATGACATCCACAGACATAATGTGGATTGGTAAGGTCTACAGACATAATGTATACAGTACACACAAGATGTACAGATACACACAAGATGTACAGTACACACAAGATGTACAGTACACACAAGATGTACAGTACACACAAGATGTACAGATACACACATTATGTCTGTACATCTTGTGTGTACTGTACAGGCCAGGACAACAGACTTGCAGTGTTCCCAACAGCAAATGGCAAAAATCAATCAATGAAAATACCAGCCGCTGTATTTGAAAAAGCAATGACTGTTCACTGTCGGGACTGACAATAAGCAAGATACCTTTTATACTTTTCTCCATGGCCGACTTCTTTCTCTTTCATTCAAGTTACTGTGAATCTATCTTTCTATTTCTAATACTAATAATACTTATCACAGAGGTCACTTTTCGTGACGAGAACGGTGAGGCTTGCCCATCTTCCTCATCGCACACTTCATCACTTTACAAGTTGCCTTCTGCCTACAATAGGACTCAATGGGTAGTCTCCTAAATGAGTCAGCAAATTTCCCATAGCTCAACATTCAGCCAGAAATCATACACTCACACTAGACATTAGATCACCACCTGCTGTAACAGGTTTGCAGACTGTCCTGAATCCCCCCCCCCCCCCCCCCCCCCCCGCAATAGGCAATTGGGAATTTTAGAGGACACTTTAGCCTGCTTGACCAAACCCGTCTCGCGAACCTGTTGTCATTGTGTGTGCCGTTACAGAACCTGGTATAACCTGACGGTAGAACATTAGGTGTCCCCGAGTGGGATTTGAACAAGTTGGCAAACCCGCTGAAAGGAATCAAGCGGCCCGTTCCACACAAAGGTTCTATTCCACTCGACTTTACAAGAATTTTTACCAAAAATGTTCAATTCCTAGCTACATATACCCCAGCCTTTATAAAGAATAAAGCCACATACACACACACAAAAATGTTTTTAGGGCATTTGTGACCACAACTGGCTGTAAGAAAAGACCAAAAGATTCGATAATGCCCATACAGAGCATGGTTGCATTCCTTCATCAAAGTGTTCACCTCAAAATTGCCACACAGAGGGTTGTCTGAAAATGACAGATTTCCACAAATCTTGGAATATTGGAAGAAGTGACATTTTTTCCAAGGTAGAAAAAAACTAGACTGCCAAGTTAAACTGCTTAATTCCCTTTCTTCAATATAAAAAATTAAAAGAATTTATAAAAAAATAATCGTCGTCATATTTTAGATACGTATTGCACTTTCATTTTAAAACTCAAAAAACATTTAATGTACACACACGAGAAATTGGTCATTTTCAATTACTGACCTTGGCACTGGACAGCCAACAATAACTAGAATTGTTCACAAAGTCCTATGGACGAAAATTAGAATTGACAGATAACAATAACTAGAATTGTTCACAAAGTCCTATGGACAGATAACAGTAACTAGAGTTGTTCACAAAGTCCTGTGAACAGATAACAATAACTAGAGTTGTTCACAAAATCCTATGGACAGATAACAGTAACTAGAGTTGCTCACAGACAAAGTCCTGTGGACAGATAACAGTAACTAGAGTTGCTCACAGACAAAGTCCTGTGGACAGACAGGAGGCTTCTAAGCACCAAACACCTAGCACCCTCCTTCACCTTTCCCCTGTTCCCTATTCCTGAGATGCAAAATACAAGAAAGTCCACCTAGTTCCCCACTCTATCGGACGCCACCACAAGACGCTGCTCCCCTGCCTTCTCCCAGAGAATTATCAATTTTGTTTTCTCCCAATAAATATTAAAATAATGCTTCTGGCCCTGAATTTCTCAGAATGGATAAACAATTCGGTTTTCTCCCAATGAAAAGGAAACTTTCTTTCCCTCCAATAGAATGGAAGACTTCTGCCCAAATGATCGTTCTCCTCAAAAAGCAGAATATTCTCTTTCCCTCTAATCAATCAAACGTTTTTCTTTCCGCAAGATAAACCGTCAATCGTGTCATCCTGATCTAGGTTTTTTTTCTTTTTAAAATTCAGAACCATTCTCTTTCTGCTGCCCTCCCCCCTTGCTTACCCAAAGAGCAAAATTCTCGGTTTTAAAAAAATACCCAACCTTGTTTACCGAATAAATAATAAGAGGCAATTCTGACTTTCTTCCTGAAACTCACAATCAAGTGGCTGTCAGTTTCACCTAATTACACCTCCATTAAAAATGTACACATCAGAAAAACTTGCTGGCAATACAAGAACTTATTACATTCCATGGTTACTTACAATTTAAAAAAAAAAAGAGTATATATATATCTGTACATACATCAACAAATCCTAGTGAAGCCACCGATAGTCATACCTCCGAGTTCTATTGTACAGTAGAAGGTGATGACTTGACAATATTTACAGGGTGAGCTGGCATAAAGTTGTGACGAGTATAAAATAGGTATTGATGAGTAAGCAGACTGCAGCCTCATGAACTCTCTGAGGGGGGGGACCCACTATTGCCCTCATTTAGTACAAAATCTAAAAGTGACACACGTGACACAAACACATCACAAATTTGGTCATTCAAACAAAACAAAAGAACATTTTTTGATAGTTCTTCATCAAATGAGTAAACCCCCCCCCCAGTAAAAGAGACCTGTTGAAATACGCCGAAAAAAGTAATTTGACGTCAAAGTCGTCGTAAAGGAAAGTGCCTGTGCAGCTGCCAGCGACTCACCAGCACAGCCGTTCCGACCGCAAGCCGCTGGGAGCACCTTGCCAGTGATAAGTAGTTGAACACTTGACAACGTGGGGGCCTGCTCACTTGGACAATCATCCTTCTAAAAGCCATCAATTTCAACAACAAAGTACAAGTTTGATCGCCCTCTTAGCAGAATATTCTGGCCCCCATTTTGTCATGCGGCCACTTTCTGACACACTGTTGCCACAAGTCTGATCCATCTATGATGGGCGTGTGATATTTCCAAATAGGACGACAAAGATCTTTCTGAAACATCTCATACAAAATGTACACGTGTATACAGTGGGGCCATGATTCAAAAACATAGACAACAGCTGAAATAGAGAGGACACCCAGGCAGTGGGGGGGAAGCGGGCTGTCTACTTGTTCAGCAATACCTATTTAAGCCGGTCAGTGGCTTTTTTTTTTTTTTTAATCTTCAAAAAGAAATATATTAATATATTCATAATTACAATATTTCGTCCTATGTACAATTTTACATTAAAAAAGTATTTATTAACATAATCTTACAAAAAAAAGTTTCTCAATAAACCATTTTCTTAATCTTCAACAGCTTTCCCAGTCTCTGTTTCACGGTGGCCTGACCTTTCTTTGGCTTTTTAGCTGTTGGAGAGAGAAAAAGAAAAATATTGTAAATCTTCTTTTTTAGTTTAGTAGAGGTTTTACTGCGCTCGCAACAGCATAAGGTCATCATTTGAGCGCCAGAAGATTAGAGGTGTTCCAAGAGAGTTACAAACTAAAAAAAGAAGGAGGAGAGATAAAGACGATAGATGTTTGATAGGAAAGAAGAAGTAAACCACACCAGAGCACCCGCCAACCACCCACTGTAAATCTTCAACCCAAAAAACTTCCTGCCCTAAACCCCCAACCCCTTCACGTCTCAAGAACTCGAGTATGCAAAACATGAAAACATACTCGGAGAAAAAGTTTTCCACTTCACTTTGGTGAAAGTTGTCTGTACGGCGCTCTCAACTGCAGAAGCTCATATGACCACCTTTTCCCCACTTCATAAGCTCCGGAAATGAATGCCATGTTTTCTGTCACTGATTCATTTTCAACTTTTCAAAGCATTATTATGTCCGTGGTCTACTGATCATGAAAAAATTGAAAGTAAAAAATACACTTGCTGAACTCAAAATCTGAACTTGTATCTCTTAATAATCCCACATTACGACACAAATTATGTAACTGAATACTGTTACTGTAACAAATCATTTTTAGTTTTCAGGTATAAATCATTCATAAATTAACACACGCCGCTTTGATTGGCAAGACACAAAACCCTTTTAAATTCAACTATACCACCCCCCCCCCCCCCCCCCCACACACACACACACATTTACATAAATCTATCACCTAATGGTCGCCACAAAGCAGCAATGAGAAAAAGTTTCATCTCACTCTTTCCTTCTTGTGAAATTATTGTTACTATCAACATTAATCCCTATTATTATCGTCCTAACAAAATATCAGCAACTTCATGAATATGATCATAGCTATGCACAGTACTTGGTCCTGTCACTGATTTTTTTTTTTTAAAAGAAGAAAAAAAAAAGAATATTGCATCAGATCCCCTGAATAAATCTATGCTGGTACACTTCAATTAAGCAAGCGAACAGCGCAGGTAGGCCCTATTTTCTCCATGTAACTGTCTATTCATTCACAAACATACAATGCTGAGCAATGACTCTCTCTCTCTCTCTCTTCCGGCGCTGTGGCTTCATAAACGGTCAGCGATGCCGACAGCACGCAGGAACTCAATACTCGCCCCGGGGTCCTTAAAAAGTGCTGAAAAAGGGTTACTGCAATGTCCCAGCAGACGGGTAATGCTGAGCAATGACCAGTGCTTCCACTAGCTCAAGCTGAAGAGTAAGGAAAATTCTGCGGGGGGTCTGCCCAGCAGGGTCCAGGGACAGCGTCCCGCTGGGGGTTCAGGGGGCAAAGCCCCCGAACAAATTGAAATTAAATACTTTTAGAGGGTTGAAAATGGCATTTGGGAGCCTGTTTGAAGAGATTGCCAAGAACCCATATTACCTATTTTTTCACCAATATTTTGTCTTGTGTGATTTCTTCACCAACATATCTTTCCATTGCTGGCAATGTTTAAAAGCAGGTTCCCCTTCCGTTGCTACTACAATTCAATTAATTTTTGTCATCGCACCATTAATAGAAGGCAAACTTGGGAATAATGAATAGATATGAACCTTCACAATACAGTTACCCAGCGTATACCCTAATTTTCCTCAATGTCTGAATGTCGAATGTCACAACCTCGGAACACCATTTCGAATTATTCTTGATTTTAGTAGTTTTAGCACAAATTTCTTTCATTGCGGCCCTTATCGCGTTCCCGTGCAGTAGAATCTTGGCACTGATAATTTCTCTAGATCTAGGAGGAAAGTGGCACAAGTCAAAACACTCGATCAACGCACAGATTTTCCAGCCGCGGCAACAATCCGAAGATAGACAGACGGAATGAGGGAACGATAGAAAGGAGGAAAGTGGGACAAAAAAGTTTGCCAGATTTCTATCAATCTGCAGGTAAAAAATGTACTGCCGACCAACCCGCAAAGAATGCACGGGGCATAGCAGAATAATGGCCGATTGCAGGAAATGCACAATCTGGCAGGTCTCTATGACAAACTATTGCCGAGCAAGACGATACGAAGGCGAGTATGGATCTTTTGCTACGGAATTTCCGTAGTCCTACGCTGTCGCAGACTTTTACGAAGGCAGTTGATAATGATGCAGGAACAAGTACGGAATTAGCAGAAAATACGGATTTCCGTAAAAATACGGAAGAGAGGAAGCACTGAATGACATCACGGTACCACAAAGTAAAAATACAACTAAAAGTAGGTACCGCAAACTGGCCGTGCGCCCCCGTGGCGCACTGTCGTGGAGACCAAAACTCATATTTTTACCCTCCTAAAACGCCGTGTGATCATGCATACACACAGACACTTGATATATCAGAAGAAAGAGTTTTTCTTCTTTTTAGTGGTATTATTTATTTGAATCAACGATTCTTTTGAAAGCAAAATCTTGTGGGATAAAAAACAACACTATTGAGGTTTTCACTGTCGCGGCCGCGCGTTTCGTGTATTGATTTTTTTAGTGACCTCGGTTGAACAGCAACGGGGAGCATACGGTATTAAATACTGCAATCTGATTCGTCGATGTTTCAAGATGAGAAAACACTCTTTCCGGTGATATATTTCTAAAGACTGTCCTTAAAGAATTAATAGAAGGGATCTGCGAGTGAAAACATTCAATGTTTTTTTATGGTACCAGTGATCGGACTGACTACGGAAATATATCGGAAGAAAGCCCATTCATTCCTCTTCAAGTTCAAGAATAACACAGCCATTATACGCAATAAATACCGGACGCTCCCCATCGGCTCGCAAGCAGGGCACCATCGCCCTGGTTTCGTATAAATTCTCTCTCCTTGCCTTCAGCGCGGCCCGGCGCGCAGCCGATAAGCCGGTGGTCGCGAGTGGTGATTTTAACCTCCCCTTGTATTTCTTGCCGTTTCGGTCAAAAAGCCATGTTTACGTCAATACATTTCCATCTTCTGCTTATTTGATAGCCCTGAAAAAAATTGGCTTGTTTTTTATGTGCATGGGTGTGTGTCTACAAGATTTTGTGAACGTCCGTTCAAATTGAAGAATGTTGTGACATCTCAAAGTGCAGACATTTCGCAATTTAAAAAATATAGCATTTTTCTGCAACTTCAGATGTTCATAACTTGGTTAAAAAAAGAAGCTATATGTATAATTTGGTATCAAAATGCTCAGAATAATACATTCTATAAGGTGTTGCAATTAACTATGAAATCAGAGGACTTTGAAATTTCAGTTTGTGGTACCTGCTAAAAGTGAGGACATTTGTCTGAGCCCCTGTAAGTGAGGACATTTGTCTGAGCCCCCGTAAGTATCCGAGGCAACAACTTACGTTTGGACACAAGAGCAGCGCCGGCACATGGGTCCACCGGCCTCTTGATACCCGGTCGGAAAGCATTGACTGGAACATAAGGTGGGAAAAATATATTGTGTAAGTAGACAAGAATTGACATTATAACAAAAAAATATGCAAAGGAAAACTTGCAAATATGCATATTCACCGTATACCACATGTCAACAGCAAAGTGAAAAGACAGCTTAACCGACCAATCGGTGCCAGCTGAATAAATCTGCTGTCTGCACACCTTTCGAAGTTCTTGACACGCGAGAACGGCCCATTCAAGAAAGTACATTGCAATCACATTCACAGAGCTGTCAACTTTTCCACCAAAAAAATATAAAAAACCAACCCCAAACCCCAGACTCAGCCCGTACGACAGGTGGTCATTGGCCAAGTAATCTTCTTCCAAACCCTTCATACACATTTTTACGCATTGAATAAATGTACGCTCAAGAGTTGTCTAGGGGAACTAACACTGCTACAATTGACCTATAGGATTCATTCTCATTATCATTCGCAAATCCGGAAATGAAAGTTCATAATTTTTTTTACAGCATTTGCAGGTCGTGAGGAGCAATACTAGTATTATGTATAGTAAACAGATAGCACATATTTTCCAACATGTAAACATACTTTCGTACTCAGACCCTTAATAACATATTAAATACATTTTTAACATACTGGTTGGGAGGTATGCATTCAATTCGACAGTTATATACAATAATCTAGTGTAGGCAAATTCTGAAGCTCACAACAATATAGTGAAAATAAGCTACGAGGTGGGTACCCACAGTGTAGTTCCAAATTAGTGCATTAAAAGAAGATGTACAGACCTCACTTGGGAGTGAGGGGTCCTAGAGCAGTATTCACAGATTTCATGACTTTAGTTCTACTTTTACGGCACTTGCAGCACATTCAGATCACATAAGTGCTGAAAATTAGAGGTGTTGCAAGACAGTAACAAATACAAAAAAGAAGGAGGACAGATAAGGATGAAAGATGTTTGATGTGAAAGAAGGAGCAAACCACACCAGAGCACCTGCCAACCATCCCCAGGTCTCATGAGTCCACAGATCTAGTCCGACAGTCCCTGCTGACAACACACAACCCCCGACTCACCAGGACCTTCGTCGTCCAGTGCAGATGATGGGCCGGGCAGCGGCTCCACCTCAAACTCCTTCTTCTCAGGGAGCTTGGCTTTCTGTAACTTCTTCAAATGTTTTTTTTCCGCCTGGGGAATCAAATAAATAAATAAATGGAAACCAGTTCACGTGGAGCTCCGAGTTACTTTCTGCCTTTATGGGTTTTAAAAAAAAAAAAAAAAAAAGGAACTCGTCAGTCCAAATTTTCTTCTTTTTGATGTTACTGATGCAGTGAAGGAGTTGATTCACAAATGAATCTATAGTTTCCCAGCTTTTATACAGCTACATATAGAGAGTTGATTCACAAATGAGTCTATAGTTTCCCAGCTTTTATACAGCTACATATAGAGAGTTGATTCACAAATGAATCTATAGTTTCCCAGCTTTTATACTGCTACATATAGAGAGTTGATTCACAAATGAATCTATAGTTTCCCAGCTTTTATTGAGTAACTTTGTCTTTCTGCTGAGATGTATTGGTCCAGACAGGCACAGAGTCATCACAGCCCACCTCCAAAATACTCCACACATGTGTTGATGAAGGCCTGGAACATTTTACAATCACTCAGGGTCGTGAACTTGAGGAGCAGAATACCTAAAAAAACAACCAAAACTAACCCTCACAGAAATACACATAGAATCAGAATGAAGAAACAAACACTTATTTTACTTTTCTGATCCAGCGGCTATCCGAGTTCCAGCCCTTCGGCCAAAAACAAACACATAATGAAACACAAACAAACAAAACAAAACAAACAAAACCTCAGTAGGAGAGGCTAAGGCCACAACTCACAGGAGGGTTCTCCGTCAGTTTGGCGGCCGTGGAGGCAAGTGTGGAGGCGACGGCGGCCTTCTGGACACCCACTCGGTGCTCGCGGAAACCTTTCATACCACTCGTGTCCACCCGAGCTGGGGAACAAAACAAACCATTAACGCACAAATGTTCATGTTTACTTTCTTGTCTATTCATATATATATGAGGCAGCGTGGTGGAATCGAATTTTTGTTTTTTGGCTCAACGCCTTCCATGCCCGTTTAAAAACACATTTCTGTGTGGATCTTACTGAAAATCGTTGATAAATGGCACAACAAAGGTAAATTTTCCGTTTCCACGGACTCTTAAGCTAAGGAAAAAACTCATCTTTGGCTGCCATTTTCTCACTAATCTTACCTCTGAAAACAGGTAACCCCCCACCTCCTTCTTTCGCAAATATCTCAACTTGTATATAAGATAAATGGATATTTTTTCATCCAAATAAAGACAAGTTAACAAGCTTTAAGATGATACTAATAACTTTACATGCCCAAAAATTGACGAGAGCCAGATTCCACCACGCTGCCTCCCATATAGAGGTTTACTGACCTATTTCTTAGCCAGTTGATTCATTGTCGATTTCATTTGTCCATTCATTTCGCTTTATTGATGTATTTCTTAGAGAGTTGATTAACAAATGAAACTATAGTTTCCCAGCTTTTATACAACTACATATAGAGAGTTGATTCACAAATGAATCTATAGTTTCCCAACTTTTATACAATTATATACACAGAAAGAGTTGATTCACAAATGAATCTATAGTTTCCCAGCTTTTATACAACTACATATAGTTTCCCAGCTTTTATACAACTACATATAGAGAGTTGATTCACAAATGAATCTATAGTTTCCCAGCTTTTATACAACTACATATAGTTTCCCAGCTTTTATACAACTACATATAGAGAGTTGATTCACAAATGAATCTACAGTTTCCCAGCTTTTATACAACTAGCTCAAACAGAGTAACAGTCCATTTTCATAGAGGGACATGTTTTCCTTTTCACAAGGAAAAGTCATGAACTCTGCTACACAACTGAACACAAAACCCGTGAGTCTGGCGAGGTCAGTACACAAGCAACGCACGTTGCCACAACTGATTGAATGTCAATGTTTTACGCTCTCGCTGACATCTCTTGAGACTAACAAGATACCTTTAGGATTCCAATTGTCGTCCCTCTCCGACTTTTTCTTGGCTTTTTGAATGGCATCCTCTTCATCCTCTGACAGATCGAAGGACGGATACACTGAGAGAAAAACCCAGAAAAATGTGAACATTATATATATTCTGATAAAGTTCAACTACTATAAAACATTTGATAAATGATAACAAAAAGACAAACTCTTAAGAGGACCAAAATAATTTTGGCATGGAATAGTGCACAGTCTATGGCGTTTATTTTTAGATTGCCTACTGTGGGCTATGTTTCGGCGCTATTCGGCAGGAGCACATTTGAGATGTGCCGTCTTATTAATATTAATGTTCCGTCAAACTCTCTACAAGTTTCGTCATCGCTTGGGTTATCCCAAAGAGCGATTTATAAGTCATGTTTCCACTGTTGACTATCCTGTTATGTTTAGATACAGCGCATGAACTTAGGCATGGCACAGGGGATGTTTTACGGAGCTATAGAATAGAAATGACAGTTACGGCGCCAGCGAGGGCCTTGGTTTGATATAATATTTGGCTTGTGTTTGTTTCTGGCGTCTTTTATTTGATTATTGTGGGTGTTTTACGTCATAGAACATTAAAACATTTTGGGCGGCACTGCACGACCCTGCTCTAGATACGACTGCCAGGATCAACAGCTTATTTTCCCCCCCACAACACTACACATCTCATCCAGGAAATGAATCCCAACACAGAGACAAAAATTTACATCCTCCCAAAAAATAAAACATTCAAGAAAGTAAATTTTTTTTTTCAAAACTAGCCACAGTTTCAACTTGATTTTTTTTTTTACACAAGTAGGGTAACTGATCAGGCTTTCGATTCAGCAAATGAAACAAATTTTGGCACCAAAATGAAAAAAGGCGTTTTGTCAGCTTAGGCCAGAGTAGTGAACTGACCAAATTCTCCATCCCTGTAGCAGTCGGCCATCAACTGCTCCTCCTCCTCTGCCGCTGACGCCTGCGAGCGACTTCCCTGACTGTCGGAGGAGAACAGCGTGCCAGGTGGCCCATCACCCTCGCCCATCCGGCTCATGGTCAGCATGCCGGCGATGGCATCTCGCATTCCACTGAGGAAGGATTGGACACTCATTTAGTTACATACCAAAAACTTCAGCATTTATTGAGATATAGGACAAACAGATCACTGAGGCAGCATTCAGCGCTCACAGAGATATATGAAGAATTCAGCAATTACCGAGATACACAACAAAGAATTCAGCATCCACTAAGGTATATATACCTTATATATAACAAAGAATTCAGCATCCGCTGAGGTATATAGAACAAAGAATTCAGCATCCACTGAGGTATATAGAACAAAGAATTCAGCATCCACTAAGGTATATATAACAAAGAATTCAGCATCCCCTACGGTATATATAACAAAGAATTCAGCATCCACTACGGTATATATAACAAAGAATTCAGCATCCCCTACGGTATATATAACAAAGAATTCAGCATCCACTAAGGTATATAGAACAAAGAATTCAGCATCCACTACGGTATATAGAACAAAGAATTCAGCATCCACTACGGTATATATAACAAAGAATTCAGCATCCCCTGAGATATATACGTAGAATCTCACAGAGGTAGCATTCAAATGTATGATAAGAATTCAGCACTCAATGAAAAATCACATGGAAAAAATCAAGAAAGACAGAAACAACAGAGGGTAAAAGCAAAGAAGAGGGACCTACAAGTAGCGAGGCCCTCCAACAACCCAGGTACACACCAGCGACACCGACGAAAGAACCAAAGGGAAGCAACAAACCTGGCCTCGTTGTCCACCCTGAAGGAAGTCTCGGTGCCGTACCCGCTGGCGGTCAAGATGTCGCTGATGCTGCCGTTGAGGCCCCCACGGATGGTGTCCAGGCCCAGGCGAGACTGGAGGGCCGTGTCGTCGCCACTGTCTGCTGCACCGCTGCCATCTGGTGGTGAGTTTTGGGGTTGTTTTTTTTTAGTAAAGTGAAGTACATCGACACAATAATGGTAACTTAGTGCTGGGGAAAAGTAAGACCGACAGACAGAAACAACACAGGGAAAGTAAAGAAGTAGGACCATCTGGTGGTGGGAAACAAGTGTTCATGTTAACACATTACACCCTAACTCGCCCTGGATCGCCCGAGAATTCCCTTACGCGCTCCACCCTGACTCGCCCGCACCGACCCAGTGTTTTTAGAAACGAAGTCTCGCCTTGATGAGACTCTGGGGCCGGGATTTTGATTTGCATAGTATAGCAAAAAGTTTCTTCTTTCGTTTGATACCGAAACGAAATTTTTCGGGCCAGTAGTTTTAGTATTAGAGCTGATTGAAGTGCGACCGCGTTACCGACACTTCGAAAGTGTCTCGACTTGTTGAAAAGCAACACAATTGAGTTCGAAAACGGAAATAACGATGGATTTGTGCAAAAACGAGCATGTGACAAATCAGATGGCTCATATTTTGATGAAAACGTTGTAGGAAGAGTTTGGGGCGATTCAGATTGATCAGGCGGAGAAAATCTAGAATTTAGATCTAGGGCCTGACCGCAGGCTGAGAGTGAGAGTGACGGGTCGGACACACTGATTGAACTAAAGTTACATTTCCAACAGTTTGCGCATACATAAAGTTATATTTTTCTGAAACTACATTCAGTTTTCTTTTTAACTTTTATTTTTTCAGGATTTTTGGAATTTGTTTAGTATTTTTAAAATGTGATTTTCAAAGGCTAGTATTCACGGGAGGTGGGCTCTTTCCTCTTGCTTAGGATCTAACAATGGACTTCCCGTCCAGGGTGTAATGTACCCGTTTGCTGGGACATTTCAGTAACCCACTTTCAGCACTTTTTAAGGACCCCCGGGCGAGTGTTGAGTTCGTGCGTGCTGTCGGCATCGCTGACCGTTTATGAAGCCACAGCGCCAGAAGAGAGAGAGAGAGAGAGAGGGTGTAATGTGCAAAATTAAATTGTAATAGTCAGGGATGGAAACTGATCAGTCTAAAATTTACGTAACTTTTCGCGGGCTACACCGATTTGGAAAAATACTTATTCAATAGTAGATGAGTACACATAGTAGATGAGTACACATAGTAGATGAGTACACATAGTAGATGAGTACACGTAGTAGAACAACTCAACATTGACAGTAGGTAGTACGGACGTCAGGTCCCACAAACAGAAAAAGACAGAGCAAATCAAAATTACAGATTTCTGTAAATTCAAGGAAAATTTCCATGCCCTGAATAGCGAACGTTTTCATGTCCCAACAACAAGATTTCCATCATGGAGGCGGTGGACTGCTTCAACCTTGTCGGTCAGGGCCAACCCCCAGTAGACAAGGAAATAAACAAATTTGAAAGATTAAAAAGCAAAACCCTTCGCAAAAGACGACTGAACTCACTTTCTCAGGGTGCAACTTGGAAGAGGCTGTCCACCATAGACACAGAATGTCCTTTTTATACTTCAGGGGCTCAACAACAGTTTTACAGTAGTTACAACATTTTTTAAGCTCCCATAGGCACCGCATGAATATTAGATTAGCTTGTATTTTCATATTGCTCTCAACCAATTGACTTGTTTGAGAAGAAAGGAGGAAATGCTCCCATTATACTTTTATGCCTCTCTTAACAACAGTTGTTCAGCTGAAACCTGCCTCTTGTGTTTCGTTTAAGAAGGCGAACTGCTTCAACACTGCCAGTTTGGGCAAAATCTGGGCTGAAAGGAATACAACATCCCAGCAGACAGATTGAGGCACCAAAAAATACCCACTCACGACTCACAGGAATCAAACTTCCATCATAAAATAGCAAAGCACGAGCCTGATCACACATCCAGTTAACTCATGGCCTTGAGGAACCCCCTGACACAAAGAGTTATCTCAAATCATCTTTACAAATTTGTCCCTTTCTTAGTCTAGCAATTCAGAGAGACCGAAATATAAAACATGATCCTCTGTGAGTCCCAGACAGGTCGATAAGCTTTATAATAATAATAATAATAGATAGCATTTGTATAGCGCATATCCCCGCTCAGCAGCAGGCTCTATGCGCTTTACACTATATTATTACCCCAGCAGACCATAGAACACTCTGAAACATTCTCAGCTTCCCGGGAAGCATACAGTGTTTATCACCTCAAAGCGTATTGAGATGGCAATACTGGGATCATAAGAGATCCTTTTTCTTTTGTTCAACAGAGGATGTCCAAGAGCAATTGCTGCAACATCAATTCTCAAACTTTAAGATGTTTTTTAAATGTTTTTTGGGGCATTCAATCAAAACTTTTGCTTGATTAGAAACAATATCTTCCCCAACACAACTACTCCTATCCCTAGATCTGCCATACTACTTCTGCAAACAATACCAAACACCCCCCCCCCCGAAAAGAGGAAAAAAAACAATTGTTTTATCCCCTCGACCTACCTTGGCTGTTCCTATGAGCTGCTCCTGGAGGTAGCTTCAGCTTCAGAGAGGCAGGTTTAGTGGTTGACGTCGTCTTCTGAACACGTTTTTTCTTTGGGTTTTCATCCACGACAAGCTGGTCCTCGTCACTGTCTCTGTCCGTGGCCTTAGGATCCCCAGCCTTAGCCGAGCTACCGGCCTTCCCCTTCTCCTCCGCCCCAGGCTTTTTCTTCTTTTCTTTCGAGTCCTCCGATTTCTTCTTCTTCCCACTGAGCAACTTTTTTTTGTTTTTGCTGTCTTTCGACTTGGCTTTCTCCTTCTCTTGGGTCGGCTTCTTCTTGACAACCTTATCCCCCGCTGATGAATCCTTCTCTTTGGATTCACTCCCCTCTTTCTTTTTCTTCTTTTTATCTTCTCGACCGCTCTCTTTTTTCCCCTTCGACTGATCTTCTACACTTTTCGATTCCTGTGACAATGACTTTTTACGTTTCCCCTTCTCTGCTTCCGGTTTGCTCTTCTCTCCACTTGGCTGCCCTGAGTCTTGATCTGTCACGAGGGACTTCTTGGCCTTGGCGGGAGAAGCATGACCCCCACGGCGAAGCTCCTTTTTCAACTTTGACGACTTTGATTTTCTGTCGGTGCTGGAACAAGAACAGAGAAAAATGGCAAATACCTAAGAACAATACTAATTGTTATATGACGATTTTTTTTAAAGTGTAAAGTGCAACGGCAGTCTATTTTCTCGGGTCCCCTAACATTCCTGTTGTCTGAAATTCATCCTCTAAATTCTAACACATAAGCCTGAAGGAAAATGTTAAAAATGCATTGACGAAATAAGCTCTGAAGTAAAACATGTCTCAGAATGAGCAAAGAGTGAATATGACACGGGTTTTCACATATCTACATAAAAACAAACAAACAAAAACCAAAAAGCTGAAAACTATCTCAACAGGAAACGTTTCATCCAAATACATGAACCAGAACCAGTAAATGCTTATAGCCTGCCAGTCTCCCAGACAGTGGCTAGACATTGATCACGGAATGATACAGAAACCATTAGTACACAGTAATAAACAATGACAATGACAATGACAATGACAATGACAATCTTCTTTGTCCCTGCGAGATGAATAAAAGATTGTCATTGTCATAAACCCCCCACCCCGGTTCCGAAAATTCTGGCTCAGGGGTTGCCCCTGACAAGAAGGGAAGTGAAAATCACAAAAGCACAAGACACATATGTGGTTCCCTACCTGACCATTTTCCCGTTGGACAGCTTGAACTTGAGGCACTGCGGCACTTCCTTGGCGGGCGACCCGTCCGCTGAGCCGCCGTCCTCCGTCTTGACCACCTCCTCCTTGACCACGTTCTCCTCCGCTATCACGGGGTCCAGAGCGTCAGACTCTTTTTTCTTCACACCCTTCTTGACCCTCTTGGACGACTCCTCCTTTATCCGTCGCTCGTTGGGGGCCTTGTTCTCATCTGCACTGACGGCACCCGCCCGACCCAGCCCCAGTAGATCTGGCTTGGTTTCTTTTGCGTCTGGGCCAGCCACATAGGCTCCGGCTTTGGGGATTCGAACCTTCAGACTAAATGGGACCTGGTCCTCTTCATCCTGTAGAAAATAGTACGAGGGGTCAGAGTAAGTCAAAGTCCAGCAATATCTGTGCACAGTAAGAGGCCAATCACTCACACAATTTCTGACAAAGAACACAACACACTAGACTGAGACAACATATGTACAGATGCTTTAAACCAGTGTACAATCACCACAATGCCAGAGTGGAGAGGCGGACCACATTGTGGAACACATCCTTCAGCACTGCAAGACACACAGGGCCCTGAGACGGGAAACGTGGCCAACCCCACTGACACTACAGGAGAAGCTATATGGGCCGACAGATGAACTGAGCAGGATGGCCCTATACATGAGATACCGGACTTCAAGTGTGATGCGATCGAGAAGAAGAAGACTCACACAATAAATTTGTGGAGCTAGTTTTGAGTTTGGACGCATGAAAGCATCGGGACACAATAGCAGTTATTAACCCTTCCAGCCCCAAGCGCGTATATTTTCAGCACAGCTTGTACCTCCCACCATCCCAAGCGTGTATATTTTCAGCAGAGCTTGTACCTCCCACCATCCCAAGCGTGTATATTTTCAGCAGAGCTTGTACCTCCCACCATCCCAAGAGTGTATATTTTCAGCAGAGCTTGTACCTCCCACCATCCCAAGAGCGTATATTTTCAGCAGAGCTTGTACCTCCCACCATCCCAAGCGCGTATATTTTCAGCAGAGCTTGTACCTCCCACCATCCCAAGCGCGTATATTTTCAGCAGAGCTTGTACCTCCCACCATCCCAAGCGCGTATATTTTCAGTTTCGGGAGGTACCAATTTTGCGCATTTTTCTAAATTAGCGAACCTAATTAAACTGTAATTTTCATAATATTCGTTCATTTACCTTTGAACACTGTTCTATGTTATTACCTAAACCTCATGACAAAGATACTAGATCAGTTTTTAGAATGCATGCCAGTTTCTCTGAAATACCGTGGTATTGGCTGGGACTGGGGTAAGGAAGGGCGCAAAAATGGCTGGGGCTGGAAGGGTTAAGAGCTAGGAAAAAGAAAGACAGACAGACAGGAAAAAAGGAGGGAAGAGTAAAGAGGTAGAACCAACTAGTAGTGCATTCCAATCATCCGCATAAGGAGCTAGTCAGACAGAATGTTTTGTTTTTAGTAGAGGTTTTACGGTGCTCACAACAGCATAAGGTCATATGAGCGCCAAGGGGTGGATGTCAACAGAGACGTCCTTACAGGGAATCAGGCCTACTCTGCTCACCTCTCTAGCTTCAACAGCACAAAGTCTGCTTCGACTATCAAGGCACCCCGGTAATAGCGGGTCACAAGAGTGTGACAAACATACAAAAGAAGTAGAGGAAAAAATGACGATAGTAAGGATAAGGAAAGAAAAAGCAGCAGTTCCCTGTTGCAGTTCAGGCACAGTATGAGCATGACATTGATGAATCAGCCCATTTACAATTCTACTGCGCAAAAGAACATGATTAATGTACCCCCTTTGGGAATGGCCTAAAGATACTTCAGTCAGTGGCCATAGGAAAGATAAATTAAGTTACTTAAATGACGTATGTGTACAGAGAAGGTAGACAGACAATTAACATTTAAAGGAGATGCAGACATAATCACAAAATATGTGGGAATAAAAAAAGGTAAAAGTTAGTCCAATAATACATCGTGTGTATAGGAGCGCTAGAAGCACTTAAATAATACATGCACTGGAGAAGCAGATTAAATACACTGTACTGTGCCTTCTTTTATACACATACACACAAAAAAAATGGAACAACACTATGACAACACTCACATCAAAGTTATAAATGTTCTCTCTGCGCTCCCGCTCAGCCGACTTCAAGGTCTCCTTGGTGTGCTGGTCTAACACATCCAAGCCCTTCACTTTCTTGGCAGCTTTGGCCGGCTTCTCCCCGCGCTTCCGCTTGTGGTCCTGCTTCTTGGGGCTGCTCTTCGGCAACTGCAAAGGAAACAGTTTGAACCAGGAGCCGTTGTGTCAATATTCCACACCCATACTGACACAATTTTCTGTCACTTAGTATTAGTTTAGTATTAGAGAGCGGTTTACGGCACTTGCAGGTGCCGAAGATTAGCAATGCTACAAGAGAGTAACAAACACAAAAAGAACGAGGAGAGATCAGGAGAACAGATGTTTGTAGGAAAGGAGCAAACCACATCGGAGCACCTGCCGACCACCTGCTCAGTCACTTAGTGGGCTGCGTCGAGCATGCCTGTCCGGGTCATCTTGGACTGGGTAAGACACATGCCCCCAGCAGGAAGACAAGTGAATTATTCTGCACATACTTTGTAGGAATTAAAATCAACACCTTCTGCATGCACAGCAAAGAGCCCAATGGGAATACCACAGACAAAAACCTTGATATTTCTTGAAAAAGCAAATTGATTTTTTTCATATTGACAAATATCTGCCATTCTTTCAGCTGAATTCTATTTGTTCAAAGTTTTGTCCAACTTGATGCAACAATGAACAAGTGAGTGTCCTTTACATGGGCCCTCAGTAGTTGGTTTTTTTAAAGACACCCGGTACTTTTCCTGTGTAAAGAAGCCCTCTTTCAGGGCAAACCATTCTAAGATAGATCTATACTTTTATGAAGTTCCAGGGCAAACCATTATATGATAGATCTATACTTTTATGAAGTTCAATAAAACACAGAGAGGGGGTGCATGGGGGAGGGAAGGAGAGGGTACACATCCTCCTCTAGTTTCAAATGACACTGCCGACTTTCTTTTTAAGTGGAGACCACAGTATTAGTTGGCTTCTATAAAAACATACATACGCGCGCGCACTTACACACACACACACACACACACACACATTACAAACACACACACACACAAACACATGTACACACACACACAAATAGGCACACATGCACACACACACGTACACACACACACACACGCACACACACACACAAATACACACACATACACACACACACACACACATTACAAACACACACACACACACACAAACACACGTACACACACACACACACACACACACACACACACACAAGACCAGCAGGATGCCACACACCAACAAAAGAAGAAAACTCCAGCTTACCAAGCTGTCCATTTTCTTGACTTCCTTGACCAGGTCCTTGAGCAGCTTCCCATACTGAATGTAGTCGGCCGCGTCCTGTTTGCCTACGCGAGCGTACTGATCGAGGGATGGAGAGAGAACGCAGTGTGTTGATACTTTAGTTTTAGTAAGAGTTTTACGGCACTTGCAACACAATAAGGTCATAAAAGTGCCGAAGATTAGAGGGGTTACAAGAGAGTAACAAACACCAAAAAAAGAAGGAAGAGAGATCAGAAAGACAGATGTTTGATTGGAAAGACGGAGCAAACCACACCAGAACAACCACCCATGTGTTGATACTGGCTCAACATATTACACCCATACCATTACAAATGCCCATCATGACACACAAGGTACGAGAGATACAGGTAAAAAAGACTACTCTGGACAAAAAGAAAAAGAAAGACTGCTCTAGAACTGCACCTGTTATTATCAAGGGAAACTAAAAAAATTGTCAGAGAATTTCCTTCTCTCAAAGCCTGAGAGCAACTTGAGAATGTAAGCTAACCTCATATTCCTATACGGGTTTTGAAAACAGATTTTTTTTATGATCTCAAGAAAAATGAAAGAAAAAAAATTCTGAAAGGTTCAGGACAAATGAACAGAGAAGGAAGAATTAAGATATTGATGAACCATTGATGACTTACTCCAGTGATACTACAATAGAGACAGTAGGCTACTTCCCATTCCTCCTTGTAGTCCTTGTTGATCAAACCAGTCTGCTCAAAATACTTTCTAAACAAGATACGATGACGGGTGTTGTTGAAGGGGCCAGATATGTCTCATCAGGATCTACAATTGGTATCTGCTCCAACCGTGTTGGGAGTTCCAGATAAGTGAGTGTTTTTACCTTTTATGTGAAAAGTGGGGGGGGGTTGTGGTGATGGCAAAAAGGAATGTCACAATGTTTATTTGTTTGAGTAAATGGACACAACAGTGGTCATTTTGCGCTGGGAAAAAGCAAGACAGAGACAGACAGGCAGACAGAGACAGACAGGCAGACAGAAAACTAAAAGAGAGAAAGTAAAGAAGTAGGACCAACCAGTAGAGCCCTCCAACCACCCACAATGTCATTAAGACAGGCTCAAATTTCCCCCAAAGAGACAACAATGTTGGGCACAACAAAATAAATAGACAAACAAGTGCAGCTGAAATCATCCAAGACGGCCACCCATTGTTGAGGACAAAAGTGGTTGTCTTAGACAGGTTGACTGGCGCTCATATGACCTTGTGCAGTTGCAGTAAAACCCTCTACTAAAAAAAATTTTGTTAAAAAGACAGGTGGATGTCTAGTTTCAGTAAGAGTTTTACGGCACTTGCAACACAATAAGGTCATATAAGTGCCGAAGACTAGAGGTGTTACAAGAGAGTAACAAACACAAAATAGAAGGAGGGGAGAAAAGGGCGATAGATGTCTGATAGGAAAGAAGGAGCAAACCACACTACCAGAGCACCCGTCAACCACCCGCAGGTGAATGTCTTGGACAGTGTCATTACAATGTTTTAGAAACACAAAGAGGGAAAGTGGGAAATGCTCAATTGAAAAAGTGATTGTATGGTGACTTGGGTGGACTCTAGAGTAGGTTCGACGGTACTCATAGGCCAAACTTCGAAGAAAAAAAATTGTTTAATTAAGTCTTTTCCTATCTGGGTCTGTTTCTCAGTAGGTAATGTGAAGAAACTTAAGCTAAAATCCAGCAGCTGGCCCTGTAAATCAGGGTCAAATGGGAGATAACTTAAAGCAGAAAGTACAACCAAAGACATTAAACATAAATATATCTACATAGACATAAAATATGGAGAAAGGTTTTTATAAATATATAAATGTACATAATATATATATATATAATAAACCACATGCGCACAACCCCCAGGTATCAAGCAAAACTGTTAGCAGAGGGACTTCACCAGCATGCAGAAGACGGCTACATCTACAGGAACAAATCTAAAGCATGACGACAACACGGGCCTCTTAATCATTAGACAAACACAGTTTTCCACTCAGAGGCAAAAACACATCATCCGAAACGCACTTCTTTCCTGTGGAGTTGGAAATGTACTACTACGCATTTGTACTTCTTCCATTACCCTTCTTCAAACCCCAATTTTCAACAGACTTTTACAAACACCAGTGTCCTGCATTTGTTTCTAACTAGAACATTGTGTCCTTCATAATTTTCGAAGCATTTCTTCCGTTTTTGAGTAAGGACTGATAAAAAAAAGTATTTGCACAGGCAGTTGGCCTGGTCCAGCCTGCTCTTCACCGACTTTCAAAAGCCAAAGAGTTGCAAAAGGGAGAATGCCCACAAATGACCTCCAAGTACTAATCTACATTGACAAGAAGACTTGGTTCTCCATCCCAGAACTACGACACACAAATATACAACTTTGAAGGTGGGGAACCCTATGCTGAAGGTGGGGCTTGCGAGTGGGGCGCGAGGAAGTGTCCACTGACAGTGTCAACATGATTTAGGATATTCCATTACTCCAAACAGGCATGAGAGAGAGGGAATTTTTCCCCTGAGAAAAACATCAAGCAGTCTCCTGCTCTCAACTCCGGTGTTTCTGTGGCTCTGTTCTACCATAGAGAGGGAGAGCAAGAGGATGAGGAAGATATTGTGGGGGGGGGGGGGGGGGGGGCGCAAAGGTACATGCTATTGCGAGCAAACATGCCAAAAAAATAAAAACAATTAGAAAAAGAAATCCTAGTCTGACCTACACGGTCAACTGCACAAGAATATTGTGGTGGATCGGAACATCCTAAAATTTCTAAACAAAATATATGTATTCAGGACTCGTGAATGCCCTGAACAAACTCTGTCTTGAGTCTGAGCAAAGAGAAGAACATCGACACGCCACCGGCATTTAGTGCACGCAAAAGGTAAGACACGCAGAAAAAAATAGGGAGTGAAAAAGAAGTAAGACCTACCAGTAAAACCCTCTGCTATACACCATGAAAGCGTCCACACACAATCTTGTTCGCCAACACAGACACACACCCACATACACACAGAGACAAGCATGTCGACGACGTTACAATAATTATTTAAAGCTACAAAATGAAAGAGGGGAGAGGAACTGAGAGTGAAGGAGGACAAGAAATAAGATCGGTGTTGGGTTCACTGTTACAGTATGGGAGGTACAGATTGGGACAACAGCAACAATGAAGGGAAAAAGAAGGAGCCCAACACACAAGGACACCCACAAATAGCTGCAGGAGAGAGAGAGAGAGAGAGAGAGAGAGAGAGAGAGAGAGGAGGATATAGAAAAAGTAGGCAGGATCAAGGAAGGTTGCAGGAGAGAACTGAGGAAGCAGACCACTCAACATGCCAGGGAGGAACTACTCAAACAAGCCAGCACTTCCAAGAAAATTCTCCATCCATACGTTATAACAAAACAGATTGGCAGCAACACGTTCAATTTTCCAAGGAAAAGCCCCCAAAAAATGAAAACAAAAATAAAATTGAATCTAAAAGATAAGTTTACTGCAGAAATATAATGCAAATCTCTGCTCAGCCGTCAGCCACAGAGAACTTTTTTTGATCGGGTGTATTTCTCCTGAAGCTTCTGAACAAAGTAATAACATCTACATTGTCTAATTTATTCAGCCTCAACCATGAAGAACTATTCCATCATGGCAGGACTGTAGCTCTAGAACAAAGCTCCTTGCTTCCAGACAACTTCATTCTATTACAATTCCAGAAACAAATATGAAAGAAACTTCAAATCACAAAGAAAAGTGACCTTACCAAGTCAGGCCTACATCCCGTTAACTTTCAGTTACTGTAAGCATTGATTTTGCATCTACAAAAACCAGCCCTGCTCCATAAGATAAAACTTGTGAGCATAAACTGTAAACAACAAATTGAAACTTTGCTAAAACATTTGTTCGAGTCCTTTTAAATATATTTATGAGACTTCTTCGAGTTTATCATGTAAAAACCATGTAATATGGCGTACTTTGGAAGCTTTCGCACAGGTTCCACGAGAATCTTCCTAAACAATCTATAGATGGAATCCTTACAGTCCAAAAAGTCTCATTGATTCTTTTGCAAAAGTATGGGAACCATTGGATTTTTTTTTAAAAGATAGCATCTAGTTATATTACAGTTAATTACTAGTAACACTAAAGGGGAATTAGTTCATAAACAAATCATTGGGAATGTCTGATGGACTTTCAAAATCCAAAGACACTGTCAACTTCTCTTTAACTTTTCATTACTTTTTAAGAATGTCAATTTTAATAGAGTGTAAAAAATTCAGCAGCATGTAATAATATCATCTAAATACGTTTCTAAAAAAATACACACAATAAATTCAACAGAAGACATCAAAGAAAGCAAGAAATCAATTCCAGAAGGGGCAGTTTGACAGGATCAAAAGTGACAAGCAAGCACCTTAAGAGAACAGAGACGCAGTCACCCACACAGGTAAAACTGAATAGGAGTAAGACGTTCACGAAAAGAAAAAAAGTAAAAAGAAAACCTCACAACATATCAAGTAAAGACCCAAACAACCCACAACAGCCTTAACAAAAAAGATTATAAAATTTAATTTCAACCTTAAAATAGAGACACAAATGTGTTCAAAGTACTAGAAATGAAAGCGACGAGGTGACAAAGCTACAGGTTCAATAAAGCTTTTTTTACACATTACAGCTGATAAGAAATTAATGAACTGTCGAAATATGAAGAACAAAAACGATGACAGAACAAATGACAAGATAGCTTAAAGCAAGAGATACCTAATCCTTTTCTATCTTTTCACGTTTGACTTTTGAGAAATTACCAGAACCTGGAGATAAAGCGAAGGCGAGCAAACACACAAATGTTGGTTAAAAAAAAACATTCTGTTGATACTGAGTCCGGGCTAATGCTGAGCCCCCATTACAGATTAGATTTAGCAACAAGGGGTAAGAAACTGCAATATTAATGTCTACATTAGAGTGGTACATAATCCCTTACAATTCTCTTTTCTGGGAATTTTGTCCTTTCAAGAGTCAAAAAAGGTCTATCCTTTCCAGTGCAGACAGGAGCACCGATCTTCAGGGGGTAGAACAGATTAAAGCCACAGGAGAA